GGTAAGCTGTATACCTTATACAGAGCTATAGTCAGTCCCTGTAGCTGTATACCTTATACATAGCTATAGTCAGACCCTGGGGTAAGCTGTATATTTATATAAAGCTATAGTCAGTCCCTGCTGTATACCTTATACATAGCTATAGGCAGTCCCTGTAGCTGTATACCTTATACATAGCTATAGTCAGTCTCTATGGTAAGCTGTATACATTATACGAGGGCCGTTCAAAAATTACGCGGACTCGGCTATTATTTACTCTTACAGACGTCATATTGTTATGAAATTTCACAGAAATATGTATCTTATCGATTCCAATAAATTTTGGGCAAAATTTCTGTATTTCAAAAAAATTCTACTAAAATTATCGGTATGTTGATATCGCTGATGGAGAGGTACGGCGCACGACAAAAAAATCTGAGGCAAAAGCATGCGGAATCCATAAGTTAACTCATTCATTTTCTCTAAATCGTGATATTTTTCGACAATTTTCTCAAATATATCTTTGAATTGTTCTATTATTATGTATTTAGATTTCTGACGTGATATTTCAAGTACTAACAGAAATATAGAGGTTTTTCTCTGATGCGATTCCCGTGAAAACGACTGTGAAAATGACGTCTCCTGAATTAACGGCGCACCAAACTTTTGTTAAATTATGTATTATGCTCGAGATATCGCCAACATAGATCCAAAATATGCATATTAAAACATTTAATAAACCAGGGTATTCGTGACATTAGTCCACAAAAAAGCAAATTGAAATTTTAGACCGTAAGACCTCTGTTTAAAGGCTATACGAGAGGACGGGAAGAAGATTATCGACGAAAACTTTGTCGGACTGTAAAGAACGTGTTTGTGAGTCACCAATATCACACTATATCTCATAAATACCTGCAGTTTTTGGTTTTAAAACAAAAAAAGAATATTCTTTACATGCTTAATAGATTTTAAGCTTGACAAGAAATGGTGATTAGATGTTGAGTGGATAAGGTAACTCAAACTGTACATGAACTCTTGGGAAAAGGTTGAGAAAATGAAAGACCAATTACATATTTTTTTTATAATTCCTGTGACGTCGAAGATTTTGCTGCTCCGTGACTTAATGATATATCCTGATAAATCACTCTAAATTGATACCAATTTACAACATTTTGATATGAAATTTTGAAGACTATATTGGTAAAGATTCTTATATTATGTGTGACGTTTTGCCCGATTATGTTGTCAACTATTTTTTTCTGTGCAACAAGTCCGCGTAATTTTTGAACGGCCCTCGTACATAGCTATAGTCAGTCCCTGTAGCTGATTACCTTATACATAGCTATAGTCAGTCTCTATGGTAAGCTGTATACCTTATACATATCTATAGTCAGTCCCTGCTGTATACCTTATACATAGCTATAGTCAGTCTCTATGGTAAGCTGTATACCTTATACATAGCTATAGTCAGTCCCTGCTTTATACCTTATACATAGCTATAGTCAGTCTCTGTGGTAAGCTGTATACCCTATACATAGCTATAGTCAGTCCCTGCTGTATACCTTATACATAGCTATAGTCAGTCCATGTAACTATATACCTGATACATAGCTATAGTCAGTCTCTATGGTAAGCTGTATATCTATATAAAGCTATAGTCAGTCCCTGCTATATACCTTATACATAGCTATAGTCAGTTCCTGTAGCTGTATACCTTATACATAGCTATAGTCAGTCCCTGCTTTATACCTTATACATAGCTATAGTCAGTCTCTGTGGTAAGCTGTATACCCTATACATAGCTATAGTCAGTCCCTGCTATATACCTTATACATAGCTATAGTCAGTTCCTGTAGCTGTATACCTTATACATAGCTATAGTCAGTCCCTGCTTTATACCTTATACATAGCTATAGTCAGTCTCTGTGGTAAGCTGTATACCTTATACATAGCTATAGTCAGTCTCTAGGGTAAGCTTTATACCTTATACAGAGCTATAGTCAGACCCTGGGGTAAGCTGTATATTTATATAAAGCTATAGTCAGTCCCTGCTGTATACCTTATACATAGCTATAGTCAGTCCATGTAGCTGTATACCTTATACATAGCTATAGTCAGTCTCTATGGTAGGCTGTATATTTATATAAAGCTATAGTCAGTCCCTGCTATATACATAGCTCTAGTCAGTCGCTGTAGCTGTATACCTTATACATAGCTAAAGTCAGTCTCTAGGGTAAGCTTTATACCTGATACATAGCTATTGTCAGTCTCTATGGTAAGTTGTATACCTTATACATAGCTATAGTCAGTCCCTGCTGTATACCTTATACATAGCTGTAGTCAGTCCCTGCTGTATACCTTATACATAGCTATAGTCAGTCTCTATGGTACGCTGTATACCTTATACAAAGCTAAAGTCAGTCCCTGTAGCTGTATACCTTATACAAAGCTATAGTCAGTCCCTGTAGCTGTATACCTTATACATAGCTATAGTCAGTCCCTGGGGTAAGTTGTATACCTTATATCTAGCTATAGTCAGTCTCTGCTGTATACCTTATACATAGCTATAGTCAGTCTCTATGGTAAGCTGTATACCTTATACAGAGCTATAGTCTGCCCCTGCTGTATACCTTATACATAGCTATAGTCAGACCCTGGGGTAAGCTATATACCTTATACATAGCTATAGTCAGTCCATGTAGCTGTATACCTTATACATAGCTATAGTCAGTCTCTATGGTAAGCTGTATACCTTATACATAGCTATAGTCAGTCCCTGCTGTATACCTTATACATAGCTATAGTCAGTCCATGTAACTATATACCTGATACATAGCTATAGTCAGTCTCTATGGTAAGCTGTATATCTATATAAAGCTATAGTCAGTCCCTGCTATATACCTTATACATAGTTATAGTCAGTTCCTGTAGCTGTATACCTTATACATAGCTATAGTCAGTCTCTAGGGTAAGCTTTATACCTTATACAGAGCTATAGTCAGACCCTGGGGTAAGCTGTATATTTATATAAAGCTATAGTCAGTCCCTGCTGTATACCTTATACATAGCTATAGTCAGTCCATGTAGCTGTATACCTTATACATAGCTATAGTCAGTCTCTATGGTAGGCTGTATATTTACATAAAGCTATAGTCAGTCCCTGCTATATACCTTATACATAGCTCTAGTCAGTCGCTGTAGCTGTATACCTTATACATAGCTAAAGTCATTCTCTAGGGTAAGCTTTATACCTGATACATAGCTATTGTCAGTCTCTATGGTAAGTTGTATACCTTATACATAGCTATAGTCAGTCCCTGCTGTATACGTTATACATAGCTGTAGTCAGTCCCTGCTGTATACCTTATACATAGCTATAGTCAGTCTCTATGGTACGCTGTATACCTTATACAAAGCTAAAGTCAGTCCCTGTAGCTGTATACCTTATACAAAGCTATAGTCAGTCCCTGTAGCTGTATACCTTATACATAGCTATAGTCAGTCCCTGGGGTAAGTTGTATACCTTATATCTAGCTATAGTTAGTCTCTGCTGTATACCTTATACATAGCTATAGTCAGTCTCTATGGTAAGCTGTATACCTTATACATAGCTATAGTCAGACCCTGGGGTAAGCTATATACCTTATACATAGCTATAGTTAGTCCATGTAGCTGTATACCTTATACATAGCTATAGTCAGTCTCTATGGTAAGCTGTATACCTTATACATAGCTATAGTCAGTCCCTGCTGTATACCTTATACATAGCTATAGTCAGTCCATGTAACTATATACCTGATACATAGCTATAGTCAGTCCCTGCTGTATACGTTATACATAGCTGTAGTCAGTCCCTGCTGTATACCTTATACATAGCTATAGTCAGTCTCTATGGTACGCTGTATACCTTATACAAAGCTATAGTCAGTCCCTGTAGCTGTATACCTTATACAAAGCTATAGTCAGTCCCTGTAGCTGTATACCTTATACAAAGCTATAGTCAGTCCCTGTAGCTATATACCTTATACATAGCTATAGTCAGTCCCTGGGGTAAGTTGTATACCTTATATCTAGCTATAGTCAGTCTCTGCTGTATACCTTATACATAGCTATAGTCAGTCTCTATGGTAAGCTGTATACCTTATACAGAGCTATAGTCTGCCCCTGCTGTATACCTTATACATAGCTATAGTCAGACCCTGGGGTAAGCTATATACCTTATACATAGCTATAGTCAGTCCATGTAGCTGTATACCTTATACATAGCTAAAGTCAGTCTCTATGGTAAGCTGTATACCTTATACATAGCTATAGTCAGTCCCTGCTGTATACCTTATACATAGCTATAGTCAGTCCATGTAGTGTATACCTTTACATAGCTATAGTCAGTCTCTATGGTAAGCTGTATATTTATATAAAGCTATAGTCAGGCCCTGCTATATACCTTATACATAGCTATAGTCAGTCCCTGTAGCTGTATACCTTATACATAACTATAGTCAGTCTCTAGCGTAAGCTTTATACCTTATACAGAGCTATAGTCAGACCCTGGGGTAAGCTGTATATTTATATAAAGCTATAGTCAGCCCCTGCTGTATACCTTATACATAGCTATAGTCAGTCCCTGCTGTATACCTTATACATAGCTATAGTCAGTCTTTACGGTAAGCTGTATACCTTATACAAATCTATAGTCAGTCCCTGTAGCTGTATACCTTATACATAGCTATAGTCAGTCTTTACGGTAAGCTGTATACCTTATACATAGCTAAAGTCAGTCCCTGGGGTAAGTTGTATACCTTATACAAAGCTATAGTCAGAACCTGTAGCAGTAAACCTTATACATAGCTATAGTCAGTCTCTGCTGCATACCTTATACATAGCTATAGTCAGTCTCTGCTGTATACCTTATACATAGCTATAGTCAGTCCCTGGGGTAAGCTGTATTATGCATAGTTATAGTCTGTCCCTGCTATATACTTGTACCTTATACATAGCTATAGTCAGCCCCTGCTATATACCTTATACATAGCTATAGTCAGTCCCTGGGGTAGGCTGTATAGACTGATAAGCTCATCCCCTCCTATTGCCTTTCCTCTCCAATCTTCCCACTTTACCTCCTGTGTGAGTAACAGGGACCTCTGATATGGTCTGGAAATTTGAAATTATTTACAAAACTTTTTAATTTATGTCAAGAAGACATGCATATGTTATTTTCAGTTTAAAAACATGACCTGAATTCAAATTTTAGATTTTGAAGAATTATGAAGAACACCAAAAGATGTACTGATGTACCCTTCTTTCACAGGTTTCCCAGTGTCTTGGTTATAAAAGAGAGGATTCCTTGAATACAGTTGAAACTCCTTGATGCTATTTATAGATGGCAACTCCAAGGCAAACCACCGAATGCTGACAGACATGGAGTGGAAAAACACATCCTGGTGGCTTAATGTATGTTCCCTATCATCTTTATCTATCATTACCAGTTCAAAGATCACACCAGCTGTCCTAAAACAAATTTTGATTGGATGTAGTTCTGTCTAGTCAGAACACAGTCCATTAATTTTTTTTAATTCTTGATGGAATACATAAAAAAGAAAATATATGTGTTCATTTAAAAACATGAATTAGTACATCATAAGGGAGCAATAAAAATGATAAAATATTGAAAGGTTAACGAAATTGTATTATATTAAAATTGTAGCTTAAATTTTAACCTCAATCTTCCAGTTCTGTACCACTTACCTTATATTCAACATATGATAGCTTAAGATGCCAAAGTTTACCATAAATGTAGACAATGAAAAAAATAATACTGAGTTGACCTGTGTTACTTAAAAGGGGGTTCAATATTTCTCAGCTATAACATCTTTAAATTGTATTTCCCCTAACACATAAATCTTTAGGAGGCAATATTTTACAATGATATTTTTGGGACCTCACGAATGGTAGGAATTAGTTTAAGTTCATTATTTCACGTTTACAGTCCATAATATCTACCTACCTCTCCTAACTAAAACTACTGGAGCACAGTTTACATTCATGTGTTGACCTGCTCTTTTTAACTATATAACAAGGTTATACTTAATACATGTATTTTTATAGTTCAAAATTTGGAGGGCTATTTTAGCCTCCCTCTCCCACGTACCTGAGTGCTTGTTCCACCTCCTTACTTTCTGGGAGACCTGTGTAGGGACTCTTCCTTTTTCTCAAAAGCCTGAAGACCCTTTTATTTCTCTGCTGAACACATCTTTACAAAACAGAAATACATCTTAAAAAACAAACAAACAAAAAAAACAAGAGAAACACAGACATTGTAAGTTAACAAAGTATAAACATGACAAACTCTAAAGAAATTGGTGAGATTTACGTTGACATGTAAACATCTTGATGTGATTATCCAAGAAGAATTACCTATGTCAAACTTTTTACTTTGTCTGAAGAAAGGTTTTACTTGCATCTATCCTAGATTCTGTATAATGTTACAGAGGAGAAGGAATTTTTGCATTCTGAGACTTTCAGAAATTGGTTTTTTATTTGTCTTTAGCAATCAGGCAACTGTTAATGTCTATCCCTGCACTTGTTGAGACCTTGGTTCCACCTCTTGGGAACCTTGGAATTAGACAAATTCCCTCAAACCTCTCTTTAAAGGATGTTTCATTCCAAATTTGGAAAAAAATTGATTTTTGTACCACAGTATGCTGTCTAATTTTATGTCATCCATCACCTATATTCATTTGATTTCTTAAAAATATACTGGTATATATATAACTTGCATTTCCTTTACTGGTAGATGCAGGATAGGACCTTAGGGGTCATGGCATATTCATTGATCATAATCAATCCTGAAGGTATGTATGAACTAAAATTACTTCATTTAAAAATTATGCTATGAATTAGAATTTTACACATCTCATTCAATGACCTTGACTAAATGACTATTGTGCAGGTTGGTTTCCTGTCCTTGTCACAAGCAACTTTTGTCATAGTACATATAACCTACTATTTTTAAAATTCAAGTTATGGCCTAATTAAGAATTTTCTAAAATCAGTGACCTTGACCTTGTTTAAATTACCCTGAGTCAAGTTCTGGACATATATCCTTACTCAGAAACAATCCATGTCTCAAATATAATGACCAAAAAATAAATGTTGTGGATCAAAAATTGCTGTCAAGAAGTCTGAATCAGTTAGATGATTAATCACACCTTGTCAAGCAGTCCCTTTTTAAGCTCTCAATGGATTTAGGGTTGACCTCTGTGTCACTTCTATCTGATTTAGTCCCTGAGTACTTCTTTAGTATTGGTCTCCAGAGAGTACTGTAAAATATAAAGTTGATTGTAAGATCTTGATATAATCCTCAACAATCTGTGACACTTATTGTTAAACATTGTTTTGTACTGAAACAATTAAAACTCTTATGAAAGTAGAGTTTATGATGTCATATATATGTCAAATATGTGTTGACGTCCATCATACTTATCATTAGCCAGGCTGTGCCATGATTTACAGACTTGTGATGCCAGCATCAGATCTTGAGGTGACAGGTACCTAAATATGGTCATCATGATCTCACCTGGAATGCTGCATGGAAAAAAATTTCATGTAGCTTTTGAATGTTAATTATAGCCTTTGACCTATCATAATCTCACACAAAGCTTTGTAAGACAATAAAATCCAATGAAATTTAACATGCATTATGCTTATTTCTTTTCAAATACTCGTATCACGGAATATATTTATATTAATACACATACATCAAAAATATTCATAAAATGCATAAAGTGGGAGAAGGGGGAAACCAGTCTTTCAATGAATGTTAGGTTTGGAAAAGCAGGTAGTCCCACCCCACTATTTCATGGCTGTAACAAATGTAACTTCATATTATGTTCATACACCTAGATATCTAGTCTAGCAGCTGGGTGCTATAGCTGCTTCAATTTGAAGGCAGTCAAGTACCTGGTAATAAAGTAATACATTTTTTGTTGGTTTATATCCAGTACTTACTCCTGGATTGTTATTTTGCCCCTCTTTATGGGTTTATATCTAGTACTTACTCCTAGATTGTTATTTTGCCTCTCTTTATTGTTTTATATCCAGTACTTACTCCTGGATTGTTATTTTGCCCCTCTTTATTGGTTTATGTCCAGTAATTTTACTGTTAGTCTGAGCCAGCTTTTCTCCTGATGCTGACATCTTCCTGCTCTCTTTGGAAGGCATTTTACCCCTTGCTCTATTAATAAGAAAATTAATTGGATTAGAGTTATAATATATGTGTATGTCTGTGTGTACTCTAAAAAAGATGTTCATTTCATTTGATTTCTGACCCAGTAAAACTGGTCAATGCTCAATAATAATACCCCCACTATGATGTGAAAATATCCTCTCAAAGGAGAAAGAGCTTATATGATCAAGTAGCACAAAATGTCATCTGTAATGAATAGTTGCTGAGGAAACTGTGATGGAAATTTGGTATGGACAGACCCATGGATAAACAAGAAGTTGATATCAGATTTGTACAAAAAAATCCCACAATGTGGCATGTCTTTACAAAGAGAGTGCTAAAATTTCAAGGCTAAGCATTTGTATTTAGTAGCTGCTGAGAAAACCTCGACACGAAATTGTACAGACAGATAGGCAGACACACAAAGAAGGGTAAACAGTATTACCCTGCTCTCCTTCAGAGAGGGGGCATAATAATACTTATAATTATTATTATTTATCTGCATGTACCGGTATATATATATACATGTAGTCCCCTTGTAAACTATAAAACTGCCGATGGTTCACATTAACACTACACATTCACTGGATTTGAGGTAGTATTCATCGAAGGTTCTGACTGTGCCATCATCTATTCAATTTGAATGAGTGATATCACTTATTCCAATAGGTGATATCAGTGAGTGCAGTGTTTTCCCTTTATTTCAAAGTAAAATGTTAGAGATCAATTATAACAGGCTTTGGGCAAAGGTTTATGAACAGAATCTCTGTGGACCTCACAACAAATTTTTGTTTCAAAGCGGCATTTTTGTCAGTTGAAGCGGTCATTTTTGCCGGTAGTCGGTTCTTAGGGAAAACACTAATTATTCACCTATTTGAATAAGTGATATCACCTACTTGAAAAGGTGATATCAATTTTTGCCGGTAAATTACCAAAATGGTGCCTCATAAGTGATATTACCTATATTTATTTGAATAGGTGATATCACCTATTCGAATAAGTGATATCACCTTTTTGAATAGGTGATATCACCAATTTAAATCAAATAGGTGATATCAGTTATTTGAATAAGTGATATCACTAATATTCGAATATTCAAATATTCACCTATTATTCAATTTGAATGAATGATATCACTTACTCAAATAGGTGATATCAACTATTCGATCGAGTGATAACATTTTTTTGATAGTAAATATCAAAACACCTCATAGTATGAATCGAATAGGTGAAATACGAACTTTTCAGCACCTCATAGCATTGAAACAGAGGTCTATTTAATAAAAATATTTCCCAAACAGTACATTCTTTGAACATAAATAATATTATAACATTTATAATAAGTGAAATGCACGCAGAAAGACTGGAATGGAAAAATCAAAGGGGAAACAGCCATTTTATTGAAAGATTTGTCTCCCCTGAAAAAGCATTTTATCCTGATGAGAGTTCCTCAAACCAGAGACATTGTCACATATATATGTATCTGCTCAATCACCATTAATTAACTTAATAAGTTCAATAAATAATGTCCTCAATTTTTCATGGGTAAATAAAATGAAAGCTTCCTTGGTTACAATGAGAAAAACTCAAAAAGGCCGTTCATATCTCATATTCATTTTACTCACTCATTTTCCCGAGGCTTCACACGATGTTTCATCAAATATGACGACAGATGTTCTTTGTGAGAATTCTTAGACATTCTGATTTTTTTTTTAATATCTAATTTAGTAATTTATCCATCTTCCCTCTAAGTGCAGGAACAATTCGGAAATTCGGACCAGAATCTCAGACAATTCGATCTTGAAAATGTCGTAAATTACATTAACATGATTAAGAAATCTTTTACACAATTTCTATTTTAAAAAAAAGCGATAACTTGTTTTCAGAAAATAATTTCATGTCATGAAAAATGTCAAGAAAATGTTGAAAACTGGCTAAATAATTGTAAAAATCAAAAACATTTCCAATATTCCTTGTCCGAGTTAACAATTCCTTTACATCGGACTCGGTCTGAATGTTATAGTACTTTTCTGGATTTCAATTGGGCGCACTTGTTTCAGACAGCCGGGCGATGACCCGGTTCACTTTTATCACATGGCATATTGACCCGGTTAGTGTCGCTGAAACGAGTGAAAAATAAGCCGGATTGGCTGGTATTGGTGCTGTTGCTGTAAAAAAAATTATCTGAACGCACGAGAACAACGATTTAATGGATATATTTCGTTTTAATATAGATAGTTTTCGATTGACCAAGAGTTACTTCCCGTTGGCCGCCATACTGGAGGTCCAAACACTCATATTCCTTCATTGTTCAACCAATTTAAAATTTTTATATTTGCTATTCTGAATTAGAAATCATTATTTTTCTGAAGTATATAAATTTTTGGAAGCCTCCTTTATTGAAGAAAAATTATTTGATAAAGATTTTCCACCAAATATTTCTGCTTTAGTTTCTTAAACTTGGTAAGACAAAGAGGGAAAATCACTGAGTCTACCTCCAATATGGCGGCCAACGGGAGGTAACTTTCGCTAAATTCAGGCCTATCGAAAACTATCTATTTACTAGTTCCATTCAATGTACAATTTGTGAATTTGGAGCATATATGGGGTCTCGTTACCCACAGAACTGAAAAGCAGCTTTAAAATTGAAAAGAAAAAATTGTCGTGCAAATGTAAACAAATATGTTGCAAAAGTCTCTTATTATCTCAGTAATGTTTGTTTATTGACACCGAGACTACGACAAATGATAAAAAACGAATAACATTTCTACCTCCGTTTTCCGCCATATTGCTTTTCATTTGGCCGCTCGAAATTTTTCGGGCGATCCGGGCTACTTTCTGACCGCCCGGCGGCTTAAATATATTTGAAACAAGTGACTTGCCCGGTTCCGGAATATTAACCGGCTTGACCCGGCTTATGAAACAAGTGCGCCTTTTGAGTCGTCGAAAAATATTTTTCACACTGCTATGGCAAACTCGATGAAAGATTCAGTAAGTATACTACAGAGGAATTAATCAATGTTAAGAATTTTTCTGTCATTAACAAATAACAATTGCTAAAAAAAAGATGGACCAATCGCATTGGGAAGTGCCATTCATTTGCAAGCATGGCTTGTGGAAAAAAAAATCATGACTAGGGCATGCTTGTAGTAATAATAAATTGATTTTTTGGAATTTTATGTTTGTTTCATGTATCAACTAAATAAATTGATCAACCAAAGAATCCCTACAGGAAATTCGAGTTATAATTATAACTGATCCATCATGCAGGTCCAACACAATCAAAATATAGGGATCAATCTTTTCCATAGGAATAAATAGGAGAAATCCACGAAATCTTAATCCATCACCATGATCAATCATATTTAAATCCTATTTATTTGCTCACCTGAGTTGATTCATGAAGATATTGAATCAGCTCAATCCAAAGTTATACTATCTTAACATGCTTATTTTATCAGAAATAAAATCCCGACTAATGGCGTCATTTAGCAGGAAAAGAACTTAAAAATGGGCAATAAGTACTGCACTCACTACCATCAACTCATACATTCAGCTCTGTCGTTCGCTCGCGTTTATCACAGTGATAAACACAAGAAATGATAGTGTGTTAGTTTTAATTCATTATAATTCAGTTTTTATGCTTATGTCTTAAGTTTTGAGATAAATATTAACTCAAATCAATCCAGAACTATTGATTTAATTTGAAGCAATCCTGCAAATATCATGTTTTATATGTTATGTCAAAAATCTTGAAGTGAGCCCATTGCAGAGGTGTCTGAGAGAGAATGAAGGACAACTCTGCACGGGAGATTGTTTGTACTGCTGACAAATTAACTCTACTGAACATCTTGCTCTGTGTTTAACCTATAATGACAGTCTCTCTCTCTGTTGTAGGACCCGGATACCCAGGTCACCTATGATGATCAACAGAAAATCAATAAATTCGCCAGAAATAACGCTAAACTTCAGGATCTCAAGGATGAACTAGAGAATAAAAAGGTAACACACTGTCCCACCTTATGTATGTTCAAAGCAAATCAAAATTGCTTTTAATTTACTCTAAAGGAAACTAAATATTTATACCTTAACATTTTCAGAAATGAAAAAGGATTTTTTTTAACATGTAGGATATTTTAATTTTTTTTCCTCAGAAAGAGTTACAGAACTTGGAGGATGCTGGAGACGAGATGATGATGTTAGATGATGAATTAGTCCCATATCCTTAAAATTAAAAGCATTGACATTTGGACTTATATTTACATTGTAAGGATGAACTTGAGATCTTTTTTAAAGCAGTTTTTCACCCCACCCCTACCCACTTCAATAGGGCTGGGATGATATATCGAGATATCGTGATATATGTGAGGACGATACACATATCAATACATTTTAAAAAATATCGAAATATCGCCCCAAAAATCTGACTTCTGTCTTTCCTTGTTTATTTAACATTTGGGGTTTAATATATAAAAAAAATAAGCTAAATATAAATATAGATATGAAATGAATAATTATTAATACCACTTGAGTAAATTATTTTTGTTCTACATCATATAAACAACTATTTTGAATAAATTATTCTTATATGCAAAGAAATAAATTGTTTATTTCAATACATCAAAAGATTTTATAAGAAATTCAACATATCGTGATACATATCGTATTGTGGCTCAAATATTGTGATACGTATCGATATAGAAAAAGCTGTATCGTCCCAGCCCTACACTTCACCCCCCCACCCAACCCATAAAAACTGCACTCAAAAATGATATAAGTACTGAAGATAACCAATTTTTGACAACATTTATTTTTACAAGATACTGAAGATAGATGTAATTATATGGTATTTATGAATTATAAGCATGAAAATTTTTCCACAAATTCTGTTTATTTTATGTATGTAACCTTAAAAAAGTAATAAATCCCATTTAAAATTTTGCAAGCACAGGATCTCATTATTATAAATTTTTATGTGTTTAAGATTTACTGTATGTTGATGCTCACACGAGTCTGGCAAACAATATTAATGTGGTGTAAACTGTAAAGTGAAACCTAAGTATTTATAGAAATTAATCATTTAGCAAGAGAGGTCGCAAGTTGTGCCAGCCCCATCATTCTGAGGTGTTTATTTAAATGAAAAGTATGCAGTATGATTTTGAAAGCTGCCTCAGGGATATTAATGATATACTAGTGTTCAATTTCAGATCTAGATCTAAATGTTATTCTTGATGTCAGCATATCTATATAAATGTTTACCTAATCTTTGTTCCCAACAACATAGCCAAGACTGTCAGCGAAATTGTCATAGTTGCATTGTTTGACTGTTGATTCCTTAACTCATAAATTACATATCAGATAGGAGAAGTATTTGTCAGCTTAACAGTAGACAGTGCTAACGAGATGTTGGAAAAAGCGAAGGAAAACACACAGGAAGAGATGAAAGACTTAGAGCGACAATGTGAAGCTATACAAACTCTACTTCAAGATCTCAAAGTGAAATTGTATGCAAAGTTTGGAAACAATATCAAATTAGAAGCTGATGATGAATAAATACCATTAAAATCTTATGAAAGTTTTTATTTTCTGTAAAAGTACTGGGTATCATCTTTGTTGTTTCACAGACATTTGTGAATGTGGTTAAATGCAATGCCTATCTTAATTGCACCATATAGAGATGTTCAAGCAAATACTAACTCTGGCCCATGGGTCATGAAAATTGGAAATGGGACAGGATGCTCTGTAGATAATATTAAAAATGGATTATTTCTTTGAAATTTTTTTCTCACTGTTCCTGAGTATTAAAGGTGTAGGTTTAGTCCCCCTACTTTCAACAGGCACGTTGCAAAAAAAGGTAAGTAATTAATTGTAAGTTTGGAAAAAAATTTGGTACTGAAAGAAGTTCGGTCCTAAACACACCTGAGCTCACTATAAATGATACCCCCACCTCCCAAATTATTATAATGGCGAAATTAATGTTTTGCTCACAGGCCTTCAGATCGCTTTGATCTTGCCGACATGTATAAAAAAAAACACATGTCGGTAAGATCAAAGCGATCTGAAGGCCTGTGGTTTTGCTCTGGTAAACCTGAAATAAGTGTCGGATCAAAAATTAAATTTAAAAGTGCACAATGGCACTAGGTAATATAGATTCCGTGAAAGTTTCATTAAATTTCAATCATTAGTATAAGAAAAGTTGCGGATAAGAGATGGGTACCCCAAAGCGTAACGGACGGACGTACAGAAACCCCAATCACTTATGTATCCTCCTGCATTTCTAGCAGTGGTATAAAAGTCCAGGTACTGTCTGTTCTACTTGGGTAATCGTCAAAGATTAATGTAGCAAAACATTTTATTATTATACCCACTTGAAAAGCAGGAGGGTATTGGTAAAAGGGATGTCCGTCCGTCTGTTTACACTTTGGGATACCCATCTCTTATCTGCAACTCCTGTCATACCACTGAATGAAATTTGATGAAACTTTCACAGAATCTTTATCACATCTTTGTTATATATTGCCATTGTGCATCTCCTATTTTACTCTTTGGTTGGATACATATTTTGGGCTTCCCATAGCAAAAAAAATGACACTGCTATTCTTTCTGTAATATATTGAAGGGTACCCAGCTCTTATCAGCAACTCTTCCTGTACCACTGAATAAAATTTAATGAAACCTTCACAGATTCTTTATCATTTTCAGACGGGGTCACGTCCCGTCTATTAGTTTACTGTCAGAGCCCTCAAAAAGGAAGCCGTGGTGATAACACATGAATTAAATCTACGCTTTATGAAAGAGCGCAGAAATTATTTTGATCAAAAAATAAACATTCTGTATCAAACAGAAGAAAGTGATATAAACTTTTTTTTTAATCAAATTCATGAAGCATTTTGTAAACGTAAACTCAATATTAATTGTAAAACACACTAGTAAACAAAGTACTCTCCTGCGTAGTATTACGACTGCGTACGCATCATCCATTGTTTACTTCCGGTGAAATATTAATTCGGACCAGGTGAAATTCGGACAATTCAAACAGGTTTCTAGACTTACCAATTATTGAAATTTCTACTTCAAATTAAATAAAAAACGCAAATTTATATTATTCACAGTTTTGGTTTTAGTCTGTTAATTTAAAAAAAATTATCAAAACTCGTTAAAAAATCACATTTGTAAAATCTAGCATGAAAATTGTTTGACGGTTGACCCCGTCTTTCAGTACTGTCTCAGTACTTTGATTATTATTGCATATAGCCATTGTGACTTCCTATCTTACGATCTGATCTGCCCTTTTTCGCGTCTCCCACTTCCAGAGCAAAACATGGTCTTTGGCATTATAATCATATTGAAGTCGGGGGACGTAATTCATTTAGTGATTTTTGTAATATTGCATATTAACTATTTTAATGACAAAATGAATTATTTTAAGACTTCTGCTATTCATATTTGCAATGAGAGAACTGTTTATAAGCTTTGAATAAAGCAAAATTACACCATGATTGTCATCCTTTACATTTCAAGTATTTTTCTTATAGAATGCAAAAAATTCCATAAAGTAAAGAGAAATCTAAAAAAAAAAAATTCTTCATAATTTTTTCATCATGTTTTAATTACAAGCAGATTTTTATATGACAGCACATACACGTATATGCATTTTAAAAGGAAGGTAAGATGCTCAGGACTTCACAAATGCAGCTCATATTTTTTTTTATATATATATATTGCTTGAAAATCAGCTTTTTGTTTAAAACTGAATTTCATACAATCCAATTAATTATAATTCTGTTTTGATCGAATAAATATGGATTTTTATATGTTTATGAGTATATTTAATTCAGTGTTTCATTGGTCTTTCATAATTAAAAACAAGAGGCCTATGGGCCACATCGCACACCTGAGTAGCATTGGTGATACCATTCTTTACCCAATTTCCCCATTATAATACCTTTGCAGTTTGACCTTGCCCCCCCCTGGGGGGTCACAATTTTAACACTTTAGAATCTGCACTAACCCAGGATGCTTCCACATAAGTTTCAGCTTTTCTGGCCCAGTGGTTCTTGAGAAGAAGATTTTTAAAGTTTGTTCCTATATATTTCTATGTAAAACTTGGATTCCCTATTGTGGCCCGCCCTACCCCCGGGGGTCATAATTTGTACAATTTTGAATGTACACTACCCCTGGATGCTTCCACATAAGTTTCAGATTTTCTGGCCCAATGGTTTTTGAGAAGAAGATTTTTTAATGAACCCACCCTATTTTTGTATTTTCTTGATTATCTCCCCTTGTGAGGAATCTTGGCCCTTTGTTTTAACAATTTAAAATTACGTTTACCTAAGGATGCTTTGTACCAAGTTTGGTTAAAATTGGCCCAGTGGTTCTTGAGAAGGAGTCAAAAATGTAAAAAGTTAACAGACGGACGGACGGACAGCTAGACAGACGGATGGACGACGGAAAAGTGTAATCAGAAAAGCTCACTTGATCCTTCGGCTCAGGTGAGCTAAAAATGCATGCATGCATGCATTGATAACACATGTATTTTAATACAAACTCAGTAGCCTCTCCCTCTCTCTCTGAGACCCCCTTTCCTTGTTTTTCCCTCTCTTTTCTCCTCATAAAAAAACTATGCAAATGGGATTCTATCCCCGATACCCTCTTTCAGATCCACATTCTTTGGTGGACTCCCCCCTTTTTTTGTGGTTTGATGAAATTTATATAAGATTTACCTCCCCTTGAAAATTGGAAAAATTCTTCACAGATGGCGCTTTAAAGACCGCCATATTGACGAAAACACGATGTCAACTGTCAGAAAGTAAACTGTCAACATAGCTTGAAAACTGTGAAAATGACTTACGATTTACCTAGTGTCTCGTACATGGCACTGTACATAGTGTCCATGCAAATTGTAAATTCGAATTCTAGAAGTTCTGCAGGGTCAAACCACTGGAAACTGAGCGCAGACGAGGGAAAGGTGATACAGAGCAGTGACCAAACAGATGGGGAGACGGACGAGTTGATGAACATTCTGACCAACAAAGTGGTAGAAAACGGACAGTGGCGAATAATGAGAAAAACAGAACATTGTGATAAACACCGGTATAAGGACTGCTCGAACGAGTACGTAGGAGTTGTTTACAGTTTAAAGTCTTCCATGACAATTTTTATTTGTTTATTTTAGTGTAAAACGCGGGAAAACTGTTGAGTGATCATCATCATACTAACATGATCTGATGATGTTATCAGTATTTTAAGCTGTACTGGTCAGAGACTGGAAGAGCATCTGCGATCATGACCATGTGATAGAAATGAAGATGCTTGTCTGTCTGTCCGTCTGTAAACAATGTTACTCCTCCAACAGTTTTGCTATAATTTTTTCAATTAATTGATATGACTGTCACTTGGTACACAAGATGAAGTAACTTATAGTAAAGAATTATATATGTAATGGTTTGAGCCGTGGATATTGGCTTGGATAGCTCAGTTGGTAGAGCATCTGACTGGAGATGCAGGGGTCCCTGATTTATTTGCCGGTCCAGCCATACATTTCCTCCCTTCCTGTTACAGATTTGGTGCCATTGACCACCCCTGGGATTGCAGGTGAAAGTCCTGCCAGGGGCTAATTAGAACTTGGGTTGCGTCTTCGAGGGCGAAGACCATATAAGGAGGGAGGAATGGTTTGGTCCATGGATATCGGCCCGGATAGCTCAATTGGCAGAGCACTTGACTGGAGATGCAAGGGTTCTTGATAAGGATTCGATTCTCAGTCCAGCCGTACCTCTTGTCCTTTCCTGTTACATATAGATATTCTGTAGAGATCGGTTTTAGATTTTGACGAATGCCATTATGGTGTCGCCATGTTTACTAAAAATGGATATTTCTGATACACTTCAAAATGCTACTCCTCCTACATTTATGGTCTGATTTCAATTAAGTATTGAATCCTTATTTTTTGAAACATAATAAATTATGTTTTTCTCATAACTGCAAAGGTGTGAGCAAACAAATTGAGTAATGCACATTAGTGTTTTATGAAAATTTGTTTGCACACACTGTTATGAGACTATATCTTTCAAAAAATAAGGATTTGTTAACTCCTTTCCTTGACTGCAAATGCGATTTATGTTTTTAAACTCATGTAATATCCTTCGTGTAAGCTACAGTTAATGGAAGAGCCAATGTAACACCTTCTAGTCAATGTATTTGTTTTTGATTTTCGCTTATGCCTTTCCACTTATTTGAACTTCAACGATGGTAACTTCATAGTAAAACACATACTTAAACCTTTTGACCCGCCTCTAAAAGAATGAACTGCTTAGTATTAGTTTCTTAATGCATTACATATCATTCATTTAGACCATTGATGACTGCATATCTATCAAAAAATGACATATAATTTTCTAGCTAGTCAATGCATTATGCCATCATGAATTGCATCATTTTCCTTGTTTCCTGAAAAAGTGTACAAAATGGCCAATCTTTTAATATTTTTATGGCGTCGAGCTTTAGAGCTAAGCTTGAACACCATATGGTAACTGAATGTGTCAGTTGATAAATCTGTAATTGTAAAAGAAAATAGCAATTTACATCAGGCCTAGAAAAAAAATATGTTTGTTTCCGCTTTCAGGCTGAAAAAATATAGGGTAGGTAGGTCGGCAATTTTTTTTTTTTTTTGGAAAAATTTTTTTTTTGCTTCTTTAATCAAAAATTAAAAACATGTACAGAAGTAACATTAATGACAAAAGAAATGATGTTTTTAAGCATTTCTGTGACTTAAATTGATAATAGAAAGGTGACCCAAACTTCTTTCTGTCTTGAAAAACTTGCAAAGTTGGAGACTACAGTACCCTGGGTGAAATCTTGCACACCATGGGACAAAAGCATTAAAAAATATTTAGGGTCGGCACTATAAATTAGGGTCGGTCGGGAAAGCGGAAACAAACATATTTTTTTTCTAGGCCTCAATTACATTGAAAATGTTTGTGACACAATGAATGATAGCTTGAAAATAAAATTGGATCAGTTATATCTACAATTACCGTAATTCTGATACATTACATAATTAAGATACTTTGTTTATTTTCAACTAAGGACAAATGAATTTCTAAATGTCATTTTAAACATAATTTTTCATGAATTTGATCCGGAATATTGGTTCTCATAAGAACACATAATTTTTTAGAGATGATCAGAAAAAGAAGACAGAACTAAGCTGTGGGAAGGCTGTAAACCACACCCAGTATGATCACCTACGGGGAATAGCAAACCGGAACGAACACAGTCATATACCAGAGCCGGAGGTCGCACTTATCTTCAAGAAAAAGGGCAGCAAAGGCTCACATGTAGATATTAATGAACTAGAGGAAAAACTTAAAAAGATGAAAAAAGATGTAAGTTTTTGATTACATGTATAAGAAAAGAAAGTAAAAGATTTTTTGAGTCTGTGATTAAAAAATAAAATGTTTTTATATTTTACAGGATCCAAACTCGGCAAATGTGTATAACCAGATAGGGAATTTTTGGAGAATTAAAGGAAACACACAGAATTCAATAGAATGTTTTAGAAAAGCATTATCAGTGTCCCCAAACAACCCAGAAGTTTTACTTAATATGGCACGGGTCTTATTTAATCTCCAATATTTAGATGACGCAATATTTCTGACAAGACGTTCACTAGTCATGCAAACCTCCACTCAGAATACATGGCTTCAACATTTTACACTAGGAGAAATCTTGAAAGCCTATGGACATTACCAAGAAGCAGCACTACATTTTACACATGCCCTTGACCTTAATCCAGGTTTTCAGCCCGCAAAAGCTCATCTCAGGGAAATGGAAGGAACTCCAAGTCCAACAGTGACACAGTATACCCTCTTTATTATCTTGTTTTTAGTCTTGGGAGTTATTTTTGGAGTCATTACCTCAATAGAAGCCAGTTTTGATGATCCAGGAGAAGTGAAGACACAGAGACATTTTAACCGGGCCATGGCCATGAGGTCAATAAAACTAGGGATTAACCCAAAGATTATCCGGATGAGAAAAATGAATTATTAAGATTTTGCTTGCAGGAGTTTTTTTTTTGGTTGTGGAATTCAATGAAAAAATTGTAAAATTTTTGAATAATATAGAATTTTATTTTTTAGCTCAGTCAATTTTAAAGTGTCAGTCCACACATAATTAAGAGAAAAAACCCAAATGAATGTACATTGTTACTTGAATAATGCTTTACACAGCCTATTGTTTCCATTTGATGATAGCAGAGGTACTGCCATTAATAAGCAATAAATATAGGTACATGTAATTACCAGTAGTGTTCTATAAGAGAGTATGTTACCTAACTCTGTGACAGTGTACTCCAAACTTTTCTGAGGTTATTTCAAAGCATCTTTTTTATTGTAGTTTCCTGGTGCCAAATTGTTATTGATATATTCTTAATTGGTCTATTTACAGATCAAATCAATAAAGTATGAAGTAAAATCGAGTTTGATTCAAAGGAAGTATCAAGTTTGTAAGGGTGACAGATTCATTTGTACTATCATTTTAAAACATTTCTAGGGGTCCCCATTTCTAGGTCACCCAAGTCAATTGCTATCTATATCTGTCCGTTGTGTGCTGGCCATACTTTGAACATACAGTTTGTTCTCTGGAACATTTGAGCCAATTTATTACTCAAATTTTGACATGTAGCATCAATAGAATATGGGAACAAAATGTTTGAATTTCACGGTATTCTTCTTTACTCCCGGACATCAAGCAGTCAAACTGTTGGTATGATTGTAATCAGCATTGAGTCCTCTACCAAAATTGTGAAATTCATGGCCCCAGGGTCAGGTGTTCTGGTGTTAGGGCAGGGCTCTATTAATTATTTAGTGAAATTGCATTAATTCTTTGAAAATCTTCCTCTCTGCTCCTGGGTATTAAATAAACTAATTAAGTTCATAGTTATGATGAGCAGGAGTGCCTCTACCAAAATTGTGAATTTTATGGCCCAGGGTCAGGGGTTCTGGTGTTAGGGCGGGGCTCTATTGAATATATAGTGAAAATGCATTAAATCTTTGAAAATCTTCTTCTCTGTTCCTGAGTATTAAATAAACTAACTAAGTAAATAGTTATGATGAGCAAGAGTGCCTCTACCAAAATTGTGAAATTCATGGCTCCAGGGTTAGGGGTTCTGGTGTTAGGGCGGGGCTCTATTGATTATATAGTGAAAATGCATTAAATCTTTGAAAATCTTCTAATCAGTGCTCCTAGGTATTAAATAAACTAAGTAAATAGTTATGATGAGCAAGAATGCCTCTACCAAAATTTTGTAATTCATGGCCCCAGGGTCAGGGGTTCTGGTGTTAGGGCGGGGCTCTATTGATTATATAGTGAAAATGCATTATTTCTTTGAAAATCTTCTTCTCTGTTCCTGAGTATTAAATAAACTAACTAAGTAAATAGTTATGATGAGCAAGAATGCCTCTACCAAAATTGTGTAATTCATGGTCCCAGGGTCAGGGGTTCTGGTGTTAGGGCGGGCTTTATTGATTATATAGTGAAAATGCATTATTTCTTTGAAAATCTTCTTCTCTGTTCCTGAGTATTAGATAAACTAATTAAGTACATAGTTATGATGAGCAAGAGTACCTCTTTCAAAATTATGAATTTTATGGCCCCAGGGTCAGGGGTTATGGTGTTAGGATGTGGCTCTTTAATGATTATATGGTGAAAATACATTACATCTATGAAACTCTTTTTCTCTACTCCTGGATAATAAGCAGATGAACTATTTACATAGTTATGATGGGCTCTTCTTCCAGAATTGTGAATTTCAAGGCCCCTGTGTCAGGAATACCAAAATTGGGATGGGCTGGGGGGGGGCTCTACTTATATACTGAAAATGAATTGTTTTAAATCTGCTCCTTGGTATTAATCAACATTTTTGATAAGCAAGTGTGCCTTTTCAAAAATTGTGCAATGTGTAGACCTTGGGTCAGGGGTTAATGTGTGGTTAAGGAGCACTCCTGATTATTGCTGAATATTACTGATTAGTTGACATACATTTTTAGCTCTTCTGAGCCAAAGGCTCAAAGAGCAAATGCTATGGCCATTTGTGCGGTGTGCGTCGTGCGGTGTGCGGTGTGCGTTAACTTTTTAGAATATGGGCCATAACTCAAGAACCCCTTGGCCAATCAGTGTCAAATTTGTCACAGGGTATCCTTGGCCCAAGGGCTACCATTTATACTAAAATAAGGGTTGGGACCCTGAATCAAGGGGAGATAATCAGGAAAACAAAACAAAAAGCACTGGTTGCTAAAAAATCTTCTTCTCCAGAACCACCGGGCAGATTTTCACCAAACTTACATACAAGGATCAGGATATGTTGAAGATTAAAAATTGTTCAAGGCATGACCCTGGGGCAAAGGGCGTGGTCTCAAGGTCACTTTAAAGTTGACCTAAATTTACAATTAATAAAAATGTTCATATTTTGTTTACTATAAGGACTAGGATCATCAAATCTTGTAAGTTGATGCATCTTAGGACTTCACATCATGTTAACTCAATAGTAGGTCACGGTGACCTACTTTTTAAATTTTGCGGGCATTTGTTTTCAAATTGATTTAAAGGCATATTTTGGATACTTTAAGGCCTATGATCATCAAACTTAGTCAGTTGATGCATCTTGGGTCCTTGAACAACGTCAACTTAAAAGTAGGTCACCGTGACCTACTTTTTGAACTTTATGACTTATCCTTTTCAAAACATTTAATCCCTTTATTTCAGGCACTGAAAGGGTTAGAATCATCAAATCTTGTAAGTTGCTGCATCATGGGACCTTAAAACATATTTAAGAAAAAGTAGGTCACTGTGACCTACTTTTAGAGTTTTGCAGGCATTTGTTTTCAAATTGTTTAAAAGGCATATTTTGATTACCTTCAAACCCATGATCATCAAACTTGGTCAGGAGATGCATCTTGGGAATTTGAAAAATGTCGACCAAAATGTAGGTCACGGTGACCTACTTTCGACATTTTATGGCTATATTTAAGTATCTTAGGTATTTATTGGCTTAGAATCATCAAACTTTGTGAGTTGATGCATCTTCGGTTTTCGGATAGTGACGACCAAAAATTAGGTCACAGTGACCTACTTTCGACATTTTATGGCTATATTTAAATATCTCCGGCACTTATTGGCTTAGAATCATCAAACTTTGTCAGTTGATGCATCTTGGGTTTTCAGAGAATGTCGACCAAAAAGTAGGTCACGGTGACCTACTTTTGACATTTTATGGCTATATTTATGTATCTCTAGTACTTATTGGTTTAGAATCATCATACTTTGTCAGTTAATGCATCTTTGGTTTTCGGAGAATGTCGACCTAAAAGTAGGTCATGGTGACCTACTTTTGAATATCTCAGGTATTTATTGGCTTAGAATTATCAAACTTGGTAAGCAGATGTATCTTGGGACTCTAAAAAATGTCAACAAAAATGTAGGTCACGATGACCTACTTTCAACATTTTATGGCTATATTTAAGTATTCTCCAGTACTTATTGGCTTAGAATCATCAAACTTTGTCAGTTGATGCATCTTGGGTTTTCGGAGAATGTCGACCAAAAAGTATGTCACAGTGACCTACTTTTTGACATTTTATGGCTATATTTATGTATCTCTAGTACTTATCGATTTAGAATCATCATACTTTGTCAGTTGATGCATCATGGATTTTCGGAGAATGTCGACCTAAAAGTAGGTCATGGTGACCTACTTTTGAATATCTCAGGTATTTATTGGCTTAGAATTATCAAACTTGGTCAGCAGATGCATCTTGGGACTCTAAAAAATGTCAACCAAAACGTAGGTCACAATGACCTACTTTCGACATTTTATGGCTATATTTAAGTATCTCTGGTACTTATTAGTTAAGAATCATCAAACTTTGTCAGTTGATGCATCTTGGGTTTTCTGAGAATGTTGACCAAAGAGTAAGTCAAAGTGACCTACTTTTGAATATCTCAGGTATTTATTGGCTTAGAATTATCAAACTTTGTCACTTGATGCATTTTGTGATTTCCAAGAATGTAGACCAAAAAGGAGTTCTAATTGGCTAAGAATCATCAAACTTTGTCAGGTGATGCAACTTGGGTCTTTAATAGGATACTTAGGGTTAGAGGCTTCAAATACAAGTGATAGGTTGTACAATTTATCAGAAGAGCGATTCAAGGCCCTTGGGCCTCTTGTTGTTCCCCTACCCTGCTTATTGGTATTAAGTAAACAAACTAAACAATTGCTAAGTGTATAGTTTTGATTAGCAGTGGTGCCTCTTTCAAAATTGTGAATGCCATAGCATCTAGCTTAAAACATGAACATGAATTCAATCATTTGAAAGTTGTTGCATGATGCTCAGGTGACCTATAAGGCCCATGGGCCTCTTGTTTAGAGGTCCGTGTTTGGTTTGGTTTAATGTTTTTTTAGCTCACTTAAATAGGGTGGTGTCATTAAAAAGTCTTCTTCTCAAGAAGCACTGTGCCAGAAAAGCTGAAACTTATGTGGAAGGATCCTGGGGTAGTGAGATTTTAAATTGTTCAAACCATGACCCCCGGGGGTTGGGCGGGGCCACAATAGGGAATCAAATTTTACATAGTAATATATAGGAAAAATCTTCTTCAAAACCACTTGGCCAGAAAAGCTGAAACTTATGTGGATCCTGAAGTAGTGTAGATTCTAAATTGTCTAAATCATGACCCCTGGGTGTAGGGCGGGGCCACGATTTGGAATCCAAGTTTAACATGTACCGAACTATATAAAAAAAATCTTTAAAAATTTTCTTCTCAGGAACTACTGGGCCAGAAAAGCTGAAACTTATGTGGAAACATCTTGGGGTAGTGTAGATTCTAAGTCATGACTCCCGGGGGTAGAGTGGGGCCACAATAGGGAACGTAAGTTTTACATTAAAATATAAAGAATTTTATTTTTTAGCTCACCTGAGCCGAAGGCTCAAGTGAGCTTTTCTGATCACATTTTGTCCGTCGTCCGTCCGTCCGTCTGTCTGTCCGTCTGTAAACTTTTCACATTTTTGACTTCTTCTCAAGAACCACTGGGCCAATTTTGACCAAACTTGGTACAAAGCATCCTTGAGTGAAGCGGAATTTAAATTTTAAAAATAAAGGGCCAAGTCTCCTCACAAGGGGAGATAATCAAGAAAAGACAAAAATAGGGTGGGGTCATTAAAAAATCTTCCTCTCAAGAACCACTGGGCCAGAAAAGCTGAAACTTATGTGGAAGCATCCTTAGGTAGTGTAGATTCTAAATTGTTCAAATCATGACCCGCAGGGGAAGGGCGGGGCCACAATGGGGAATGAAAGTTTTACATAGAAATGTATAGGGAAAAATCTTTGAAAATCTTCTTCTCAAGAACCACTGGGCCAGAAAAGCTGAAACTTATGTGGAAGCATCCTGGTATAGTG